TCTGTACGACTAATACTAAATATCTCCTTGATCTATAAATTATCAGAGTAATAAATTTACATTTTCAACATTGGGGGAATCCACCTCTCCCTCTGGTAAACTGAGTTTCTGTGACATGTTTTATTTGTTACGGGGGGGCAGGTTAGATGGGAAGATCTTCTTCTTTCAATAATATTTTGTGGTGTTTTGCTCTGTCACTGGAGTGTGGTAACATCTCCAGAGCTACCTCAGACTTGTTAACTGTATACCTTTGCTAATAGTTTAGCTTTCTGCCCATATTGCTGCTATTATAAACACAAGATACTGGGGTGCTTGGGTGGCTTAGTCGGTTAAGTGTCTGCCTTTGGCTTAGGTCATGATCCCAGGGTCCTGGGATTGAGCCCCACATCTGGCTCCCTGCTCAGCGGGAGTCTGCTTCTCCCTCTCCTCCGCCTTCTGCCCCTCCTCCCCCACTCTGTGTGTGTGTGTGTCCGCGCGCACAAAGGCTGTTCTTTAATATCAGAGAAAAATAGTATTTATTCATTAAAGTTCTTGTGAACTGAAATATTTTAAGTAATCTTTTCTTTTTTAGTCTCAGACTTTCAGACAGATTTTAAAATGTTTTTATTTGTTTTGTTTTTTTCCCCCTTGACATTAGAGAAGAAAGGGGGAAAAAAGAATTCTTTTGGGCGCACCTGGGTGGCTCAGTCGTTGGGCGTCTGCCTTCAGCTCAGGTCATGATCCCAGGGTCCTGGGATCGAGCCCCACATCGGGCTCCCTGCTCTGCGGGAAGCCTGCTTCTCCCTCTCCCACTCCCCCTGCTTGTGTTCCTTCTCTTCCTGTGTCCCTCTCTGTCGAATGAATGAATGAATGAATGCTTTGGGTTAAGATGTATCTAAATTCAGAGATAACAAATAGGTTTCATCTTTCTTGCCAATTAAGAGTGCTTGGTGTCCTGGAACAGTGTCATGAGAAGGCTTATGAGCTAAGTTCAAGATCATTGGGAGAGGCTGCCAGGATTCGTTGTCCATCAAGGGTGACTAAGGAGGAAGCACTGTAAATTTGCCAAGAAATTTTCTTTCCTTTGCTTTAGTTTTCAACATTAGGGTTTTGTTTTGGCTAGCCACTGTCAGTTGTTAAAACAAATTTGTGAATAAACTGTCATTAAATGAACATTGTGTTAATTTTACTAATCACTTTCTGTCTTTGAATTGCTTTTACAATATTTGACTTCCCTTATACTTTGTTTTCTTGAAGACTGGATTTGAAAAGAAGCCACAGAGGAGCTATATGGTTCCTTACACATAAGAGTGACAGGAAGTAATGAGGTTTAAAGGGAGTTTATTTAGGAAAAGTAGTGTGTAACTTATGTTAGGAGTAGTAGCTAAGGAGGTTTATTGGAGTAGCCCAGTGGTGATATGGTAGATGGACATTTGGTGCTGTGGTAGCTTTGGGAATGAAATGAACTTATAAAACCAAGAGATTTAGCAGGATAGGAAGGTGAACCTCGTAGAGGATTGAAAGTTGGAAATTTGATATACAGGTTAACTAGCTTTGCCTCTTATAAAAAAGGTGGAGGGGCATATTTAACCTCTTGAGGTTCTTTCCTGAATTTGGGCTAGAACTAGACCAGCAGCCAACATTAAACCAGATAATTACACTTCTTTATAAGAGAGAGAGAATGGTGGTGGGGGGAGGTCAGAGGGGGAGGGAGAGAGAAAATCTTTAAGCAGGCTCCATCCCCAGCACAGAGCCCACCCAGAGCCAGACCTGTGGCCCAGTCTCACAACCCTGAAATCGTGACCTGAGCCAAAATCAAGAGTCAGATGCTTAACCGATTGAGCCACCTAGGCACCTCAGATAATTATACTTTTTAAAAAAGTATCTTGGGGCGCCTGGGTGGCTCAGTTGTTAAGTGTCTGCCTTCGGCTCAGGTTGTGATCCCAGGGTCCTGGGATCTAGCCCCGCATCGGGCTCCCTGCTCAGCGGGAAGACTGCTTCTCCCTCTCCCACTCCCCCTGCTTGTGTTCCCTCTCTCACTGTCTCTCTCTCTCTCTCTCTCTCTGTCAAATAAATAAATAAATAAAATCTTTTAAAAAACATAAAAAGTATCTTTACATCTTGTACTGATTCCATCAAGGTTAGTGCCCTCTAAATGAGAGGTTAATGCCCTCTAAAAGAGAAATAATTGGATAATACTTTATCACAGTGGTTGGCTTGAATGGCTTATTTTTGGACCATATAAAAGTAAAATATCATTGCTAACCTTGGTCTTAATTATAATGGTATAATTAAGTATTAACTCATTTCTTTTTTTTTTTTTTTAAAGATTTTATTTATTTATTTGAGAGAGAGAGAGAATGAGAGATAGAAAGCACGAGAGGGAAGAGGGTCAGAGGGAGAAGCAGACTCCCCGCTGAGCAGGGAGCCCGATGTGGGACTTGATCCCAGGACTCCAGGATCATGACCTGAGCCAAAGGCAGTCGCTTAACCAACTGAGCCACCCAGGCGCCCCAGTATTAACTCATTTCTAATCCTGCTGTGGTTAGATGTGTTCTCTCATTGACTTTTTTTTTTTTTTAAGATTTATTTATTTGAGAGAGGGAGAGAGCAGGAGGAAGGGCAGAGAGTCTCAAGCAGATGCAGACGTTGAGCACGGAGCCTGTCCAGAGGCTCGGTCTCACAACCCTGAGATCACGGCCTGAGCTGAAACCAAGAGTCAGATGCTTAACTGCACCACCCAGGCGCCCCGATATTATGTTGTTTTGTTTGTTTTTAATCTCATCAGTAAACTATGTTAAAGTTCACTTACAGCCATTTAAAATTTTTAGTAGTGAGTGTGTATATCCTGATTGGAGGTGGGGCTACACAGTCATTGTGACTGCTACTTTCTTGGAAAAGAATTTTATGGAAGATTATGAAATATCTTGATTACAGAATATACCAGGTGCCATATACCCCCTCTAATATTTAAGGAATGTTAAAATGTCATATTTCTATCAGACTTTTTATTTTTATTATATTTTTTAAGTTTTTTTTTTTTTTAAGTAATCTCTGTGCCCGACATGGGGCTTGAACTCACCACCCCAAGATCAGAAGTCACATGCTCCACCAACTGAGCTGTCCAGGCACCCCAGACTTTTGTTTTTAAAGAGAAATCACACATTTCATTATTAAATAGAGCTAAAATCCAACATCTTCATTCCCCTTCCCAGGGTGATGAGGACCCTGATCCTAACTTTGTTGAATATCAGTTCTATGCATGTTTTTATACATTTACTATTTATGTATTGGTAACAGTCCTTATTGTATGTTTATTCTTTTTTAGTTTTCTTACAATTTTTCCATTCCATATGTTGAGATTTAGTCATGTTGATACATATTATAATAATTATTAATAAGCAGTAGTCCATTAAATTCTTCTACTACTACTGTGTTATCTCAAACAACTTATTTCTTAGTTTATTTCCCTATTTTAGCAAATTAGATTGTAACTTTTAGCTATTACAAACTCTACTGCAGTGAATCTGTTTCTTCATGCAGATGTGCAGGTGTTCTTAGAAATAGAAATTTGTGATGGTTGGGTATTCACATTTTTCTCTCTAGCCAAGTGTTTTGAAATTACCTTTCAGAAGCAGACATGCCAGGTTTTATTACCGGCAGTGTATGAATTGCTGTTCTCCACATCTTACCAAAACTTCGTTTTTCCAGTATGGGTTTGAAATAGCTTCCTAATATTTGACCTGATACTAATATTTTAACCAAAAATCTAACAAGGTAGGGCGTATTTTTATGTATTTATTGACCATTTGGATTTCTCTTACATGAATTGTCTATTTATCGTTTATTAGATTGTCCGTTTTTTCACCTTGTTGGAGTTCTGTTCTATATTCTGATATTTAATCTTCTACCAAACAGCAGCTTGCCTTTAACTTTATTAAGTCTTTTGTTGTATGTTGAAATTTAGCTAAAATGTTTTTTGTTGTCTTATTTAAGGAATCCTTCCAAAGATACTTTTCTTTCAGTTTGGCTTTTCAGATTTAGGAATTCCAAAATTACGGAATTATATAATGAGGAAGGGAACTAATTTTACTTTTTTCTATGTAAAGAACTGACCATTTCACTACTATTCATTGAATAGTTCAATCTTTCCTCACTGATAATGGATGTCATCCCTTTTATATATCCAGTTCTAAGTTTTGGGGCCTTGTATTTTGTCTCACTGGTCTTTTTATCTTTCTAGATTGCTTTAATTGTCATGGCTTTACAGTAAGTCTGTAATGCCAGTAAGTTTCCATCATATTTTCTTTAGAATTCTCTACTGTTGCTCTTTGTTTCCGTGTGAATTTTTGGATCTTTTCATCTGCTTCCATTAAAAACCCTGTAGGGAATTTGATTAGAACTTATTTGAATTTATACGCATGTGAAATTTGCCATCTTAAAAAAAAATCGTATCTCATTTTTATAGGTCTTTATGTTTTCAGGTTTTATTATTTCTCTAAAGATCTTGTATGTATCATGTTAGCATTAGTTGGTGTTGTGAATCATGCTTTTTATAAAAATGAATATTTTCTGCTTATTGGCACACTTCTGGTTTTTTGTATGCCAGTCTTTACAATTTTGCTGAATTCTTTGCTTTAATAATTTGTGATGTCTTTTGGATTTTCTGTGTAGATAATCTTTATTGTTTATATATGTCTTATGTAAAAGTAAAAAATACTTCTCGATCTCCTGAGAAATTTCTGTCTTCTGAGAATATTTCTGTGTCTCCTCTGAAATTGCCACAGTATCAGGATACTAGAAGGCAGTTTCAACTAGTTAATTTGGGAAGTATCTATATGTGAAATTTCATCCATGTGTGTCCTGTGATTGACATACATACATATATACATAAAGTCTTGGATTTTTCTTGGCAGTAGAGTGGGCGACATAAGGGCCTTTAGATGTTAAAATCCTCCCATTCCCATTGGGTATAAATGTTGCTTCTACTCTTGAATTTCACTCAGTTTATTTCCTTTTAGGAGACGCAGGTCAGAATGGAGATGGGCTGCAGACCGAGCAGCTATTGTCAGCCGCTGGAACTGGCTTCAGGCTCATGTTTCTGACTTGGAATATCGAATTCGGCAGCAAACAGATATTTACAAACAGATACGTGCTAATAAGGTAAGAGATAAATGTCTGGTCTTTTTCAGCCCAGCTAAAAATTACCATTATCCTTTTTTCCCAATCCCTCCATGACTCTTAACTGTGTCAAAGAGAAGGGTTTAATATGATCTGATATAGTGGTTTAATTTGTTTAAGGGCCTGATGTTGTTTAGAATAGTGCAGACAACACTATTAGAATATAATGTTAAATTGAACATGTGTTTAGAACAAAACAGTTCCTATATTTGGGCTAATAGGAAACATAAGAAAGAGACTATATAATATAGGCCATTGATGTAACTCATTATTTGTTATATTTATGGAAAAGCAATGATGACTGAGGATATCATCTTGCGTTTTCTGCTTAGATGCATTTCTATTTTACCACTAAGCTTCCCTTGCTTTCTTAAGGAAAAATAGGATTTTTCCTGAAAGACTGTTCCAGTGAAATTAGACATGGGTGTTTGGGATTTTGGTTTTTCTGTGTCCTCTCATCTGCAGAGTCCTGGTTCTTACCTTAGAACTTTTTTTTATCTTTGATAGTGACACTGTGGTAATTTTTCTTCTTAAAAATCAACTTAGAAAAGAGTCCCTTTCTCAGTTTGGGTTTGACTGAGGGATAAATGTACATGGAAAAGACATCCATTTAGCAAATAGGTGAGTGCCTACTGTGTACCAGGCACTGTTCACTTTAGAAGGGTCAGTGGTTAAATAAGAATCCTACTTTTGGAGCTTACATTCTTAAAGAATTTTTTTTTAAAAAATAAGTGTTGCAACACTTTTTTGTCCTGCCTTAGTGCTGGTCACAGTCTTCAGAGAATTGCTGTACTGTGTGGACTCTATGCATTAAATTAATTAGTAGGCCAAAAGTTAAAGGATGACCAACTGACAATAAAATGATGAGAGTTTAAAGTTCTGCAGGCTCCCGTATATGTCATCTAAGCTTTTACTCCAAAAATTCCACTGGAGTGCTCTTCTAGTTGTTTTTTGGGGAAAACATTTTTATTGGCTATATTCTATTGCCTTTCTTGGCAACTACTTTAATTATGCCCTTTATTAAAATTATAAAGCATACCATAATAAACATTTTTAGCTAAGTCATATCATGGATACTTTTATGTTCTTGATGCATACTTCACAGAAGTATTTTGGCAACAGCCTTATTAGTTTACAGTCTCACTAGCTGTGTGTGACTTTTTTCCTCCTAAGATCTTATTTTTTAAGTAATCTCTACACCCAGTCGGGGCTCGAACTCACAACCCAGAGATCAAGAGTCACATGCTCCACTGATTGAGCCAGCCAGGACCCCGGAGAAGATATTCTTAATTCACTTTTGGTTCCCGTTTTATTCTTTAGCTCGTAACTCAGCAATAATGACAACAGTTTTAGGAAACTTTCAAAAGTCTTAGATATTTCTAAATATCTGGAAAGTGGTTATTCTGGAGTTTTGTGCATATATTGACTCTTTAAGAGTTTTATTATTCAGAACATAATGTATTAAAGAAATGCCAGGCTTGGGGTTGATAATCTTTTGTTCTAGTCCTGTCTTTGCTACCATATAGCTATATAAGCTTGGGAAGAAAAGTCACTGAACCTTTCTGAGTCTCCATTTTCATGGTCTGTAAAATAAGACATTCAAGATTATAATGTATTTTCTTGGTCTGCAGTCTGAATACAAAGTGTCTGTTACAAAATTGTGATAGGAAGAGTAAAAGTTGAATGATAATCCTAACAAGTAATATGTTGAAAACTGACAACTTTATATTTATACAATGTCTGTTTAAAACAAATGTATTAGTTTCTTGGGGCTGCCGTAACAGCACAAATTGGGTGGTAAACTTAAAACAACAGAAATTTATCTTCTGGAGGCTAGAATTCTAAAATCAAGGTATAGGGAAGGCCACACTCCCTTTGAAGATTCTAGGGAAGAATCTTTCCTTGCTTCTTCTAAGCTTCTAGTGGTTGCTGGTAGTCCTTGGTGTTCCTCCGTTTAAAGCATCATTCCAGTTTCTGCCTCTGTCCTCACTTGGGCATCTTGTCTCTGTGTGTCTGTGCCCACGTTTCCCTCCTAAAAGAACATCAGTCATACTGGGATTTAGGGCCCACAGTAGGGCTCATTTTAACCTAGTTATATCTGCAAAGACCCTAAGTCCAAGTAGGGATACATTTATAGGTTTTAGGTTACATAAATTTTAGACAGATACTGTTCAAGCCTGTATAACATGTAAGCAATAAAATTTACCCCGAAGGTAAATTACCGTGCATTTGGTCTCATATCCCTATAATAATAGAAGTCTTTGAGCATTTTCTGCGTGCTGGGCACTGTGCTAAGTGTTTTACTATTACTTACAAATGTAAAGGTAAACCACTGGAAAGTCAGAGAGGTAAGCAGTTTGCTCATGGCCAGGTAAACATGTGAGTGCAGAGCTGAGGTACAAGCATTTGACTGTTGCTCAAGTTAGTTGCTTCCAAGAGCTTGCCTACTTTTTGAGTTATTAAAATTTTTAACTGCCTGTGTTTTGGTAAAGTGGATTGATGTTCCCATTTCCTATCCTGCTCCAAGATTTGTTAGGATTGCCTGGGTAGTACAGGCCTTTTCATGACATGAATCTAGGTTTAGTGATCAACTGTAGAGTTACAATTTGTCTTAGGTTGGGGAATTAGAGGGTGAAGCTTTCTTTTTAAGGATTTACTCTCTAGCATGTTAAGATTAATTTTTTTTAAAGTGACATATTCCAAAAAAAAAAGTATTTGAGAACTACCACTAGTTGATTACCAGTTTCTTTTCTGTCAGAAATTAAGTATTAACTTCCAGGTTGAGAGAATCTTGAGAGTTTCTTTTGGGAGTAATGATTCCTGTTGCTTTTTGGAGAAAGGATACAGTGTTTAGGAGCTCCTCTGTACACTGCTCCTTACTATTTTAATTTTCATGTTCAGTAAGCTTTTTTTTTTTAAAGATGCTCCCTTGGCTTATAGAATGATAAAGGAAAACAGTGTATGTACCTGGAGTATATACATAGAATAGATATGTTCATGTGTGTTGTTCAGTGCACAGAGCAAATCTTACAGCTTACAAGTTTGTAAGAGGCAGAGCTAAATTTGAACTCAGAGCTATTTATCTGACTTCCAAAGCATCTTCTAACACTCTGCTGTTCTTTTGTCTTCATTATATGTCTCTAGCCTTTTTTTTTTTTTTTTGAGATTTCATACCTGCCAAATAAAACTGAGGGGGAAAGCACAGGGACCAAATGGGTTCTGTTGCTAAAGGACACACAGTCTTCAACATCCATGTCTAATACAAAACATATCCTTTTTCTTTTATCTCTTCTGACCTGTGAAATTACACAGCAGTTGCTAACTAAGGATGGACATATTATTGGGAATGAGAGGCAGAAGAGCATTGAAGTTTCTGGATTTTTAGAAAAGGAGCTGAATGGAATAGTAGAAGCCTAGAAATACACCTTTGTCTTCAAAAGTGATGTAAAGCAGTTGACATTCCCATCTTACAGGGTTATACCTTATAATCCTATGAGGCATTGTGGACAGCTATGTCTTGTCTAGGTAACCCAGGATGGTTCCTGGGGAACTGATCTGCAGTGAGATCACTGATTTATCTTAAGATGGGGGAGGGGGGTATGTGAAATTAATCTTAATTCTGTATTATAAATTAAGAGGTGATGTTTTTTTAATCTTGTACTTTGACTCCATGTATTATATGAAATTGGTGAAATAGAAGCAGTTAAGTCTACAACTGAAGTTTTTTTCTGTTCTTTCTTTTTTGCTTGCTTTCTTTTGCCCTGTTTTGTAATTAGGCTTAGCATAATTCCTTCTACCAATTCTTCCTTTTTCAATTTTGGTTCATACTATTTTCTTCTTTTTTTTGACTTCTGTAGGACAGCTTTGTGTTTCCACAGAGAAATAATTTATAAGGATATATTATGACAACATGCAACTATGACCCATCCCAATTTCTTGGATCCTTATGTAGGAGTTTTCTGGGCCTGGGGGCCTGGGCATGATCCTGGTTTTGAATTGAGCGGTGGGAGACTCCCCCAGTCTTTGTCTCTTGGTCTCTGTGAGTTTGCTGTCTGTTTTAGAAGAGTGCAGTAATAGCCCTGAGATGACCACTCCCACTTAATCCTCACACTGTCCTTTCTTCTTTAGCATTTTCACCTTCTGATGTACTACATAAAATTTATTTACTCATATTGTTTAGTATCTGTCTTCCCCAGTATTGGAATGTAAGCACTTTCAGGGATGGGTTTGGATGGGGATACAGGGTGGAAGGATATGTCTCTCCTTTCCTGTAGCCCCAGTCCCTAAAAAAAAGTCAATAAATGGATAATTGATGGCTTGATTTGAATGAATGAAAGAACAAGAGTAGTTTGACCCAGTCTTTAGCCCTAGTTCTGCCATGGATTGGCCTGTTGACATGACCTTCAACCTCCATCCTCTCTGGGTCTATAAAATGATAGGGAATAAGTGGTCCCTACCAGGTCTTAGTCTCAGGAGAGTGTCCTTGTTGTCTTTCAGAGAGGTGTTTATTTTAAGAAATTATTCAGTGGTTTAAGGAAAAAGTGTTCTCTGGAAAATAGTGACTGTTATATCCTGACTTAACCTTCTCACCTAAAAAAATTGAGGGAGTAACTTTATACCTGGTAATTGGATTATTTAGGCTCTGGCTGTAATTAATATAAACTTAATATTCTTGTTCAAGGAAAAAAAATTTTAACCTAAAACTCAAAAAACAATTGTCACACATTTCCTTTCTTGGTGTATGATTCTGCTAGGGAATATGGGGGATTCAAATATATTTGTATTATGTCTGAGTATTTAAGGGGCTTAACATTAGTTAATAAATAAATTAAGGCAGTAGTAAATAAATTGGCCCAAGATTCTGCTCTGGAAATGAGATTCAAATACACAGAATGTGGGACATAATCCGGATGCTTTAGGAACTCTGATAATGTAGATAAAACAAGTAGGGCTCAGTTAACTAGGGACATTTTCTTGGAAGGAGATGGGACTTGGATTTGACAAGCTCTTTCAAAGGATGAATGACATTTTGGATATACATATTTTTAAAGGCAGAATCAATATGAAGAAAAGGACATAAGAGCAGCTAGTATTGTAACCTTTAATTGCATTTATTTACCTAGTAACTATATTGTAATAACCCTCCTCTCAGTGGCAACAACCTCATATACATGCAGGCATTTTCTAGGAGATCATGAGACCGGTATAACTGTAACCAGGGCTCTTAAACAGGGAAGATGTTGAATGCATTATTTTAAGAAGGGAATAGTGTGCAAGACAACTGGTTTTTGTGAATAGTTTTTACTTTGACATGGTAAAGTTTATGAAGTCTGTTTTATGCTGTGATTGAGGGAAGAAAATATTTTTCAGCAGTTCTTTTAGCCAGATAAACTTCATTTTGAAGGCTAGGGCAAACGTTTCTTAATGGTCTTTCCCTCCCTTTCTAAGGAGTTACCACTTCATTTTCTACATAGGCTAGTCGTGGTCTTACTCCAGGATATGGAAGTGTTGTTTCTCTTGCTTGGGGGTGGGGGGTGTTGTAACACTTTTTTTTTCCTTCATTTGTGGGGGGGATCAGGTAGAATGCCATTGTTTTTTCTTAATACCAGTCCCCCACTCCCCCATTTCGTCTCTTTGCATCCCCTATTTCATAGAGATTTTTGAGCTAGAAAGGACCCTAGGGATGGATCATCTGGTTCACTGGCTTACAAGAGTCTGTGTCATTTAAAAAAAAAAAAGTCTGTGTCATCATGGCTAGGGAGCTCAAATTGATACAGTCAGAATCTTTACGTCCTGAAATCCATATTTTAGGATGTTCACTGGGGGATTCTGATGCTGAGTCAAGACTAATCAAGTCTAATATGTTTCAGTTTAGAGCTTTCCTTAGAACTTAGCGGTGGAGCTTTTTAAAAAATGCAGATACCCAGCCCTAACCCCAGGGACTCAGAGTAGAGTTGATGTTGAAGCTGGGCAGGTATAGCTTGGTAAGTTTCCCCAGGTGATTCTAATACAAAATACCTTTAAGAGAGTCTTACCATTCAGATCTCCTTATTTTCTAGATCAGAGAAGGAGAACCAAAGACACAAAGCCCAGGTTACTTTCATCCCAGCCTTTCTGTTATACAGTGTCAAAACTTGGTTTTGGTTACCTCTGTTTGAGTTCATCGTGAGAGTCGCGTGTGTGGCTTTTTGTTTGTTTTACACTGTAAGCTCACTTCTGTCTTTACCAAGCTGGGCCCTTGCTGCCTGGATAGGATTTGTGGAGCCGTTTTAAGTTTCTTTTTTTACATTTTTTATTTCCTGGGATGAATGTAAGATCTGACTTTGAGGTTGTGAAGCAGGAACCTAACCTGGAGTGTTATTTATGCTTATGAGAAACAGGTGCCTTTGGAACGGTTTTAAGTTCTTGGTTTGTAATATATTGTAGGGACTGCACTGTTGTTCCACCTTTGTTTCATGTAGTAGTTTTGGTTGCTCTAATACCTTTGGCTTGTCATTTATATTTGTAGCACTTAACATTTACATTTGTAGCACTTAACATTTACATTTGTAGCATTTAAGGTAATCTTTAAGCCACATCTGTGATCAAGTTACCTAGAAAAATTGCATTGCTGCTGTTACTGCAGTATAATCTAGTTAATAATACAGTATAAAGTACAATACTCTGCTCAAGATTCCAGATTAAAAGATGCTGAAGGTAACAAGCTTATGGAGGTCACAGCATTCAGATGGGAAAAGGGGGAAGCTTGGGTCTGACTTGGGCCTTATTACTCCTTGCTACTGCTAGGCTTTATATTGAAATAACTCTTGGGAAAGCAAAGCTGCTGGTAGTGTGTGTTTTTGTTTCAGAACCATAGGAAAAGGGAAAAGGGCTTTGGTAAACCAGTCCCCTGCCCCTAACTCTTGTGATATTAACTCATAAATTAAATTTGTGACTTAGGATACCACTCCCTTATGCTGCTTTTCTCTCTGTCTTGCAGGGTTTGATAGTTCTCGGGGAGGCACCTCCCCCAGAGCATACAACAACAGACTTATTCCTTCCACTTAGTTCTGAAATGAAGACAGATCATGGGAATGATAAATTGGTAAGTATTAAAGACAGAAAAGGGGGGAAATGAGTGAGAATTCTGGGGTTTGCATCAGTACACAGTTTATTCTCTGTAACAAGGATCCTGGCATTGGCTGAAGGAAGGGACTATATCCCCTTTTATCACCTTCGGCATTTCAAGGCTTGAATTCCTGAATAGAGCGGCACAGGGCCCCTCCTGCAGCTGTGTCATTGACCTTGATTTTAAAAAAGCTCCTAACTCAGGACAACACAGCCAGAGCAAGTGTGGCAGTGTGGAGTATTACTGAGAATCAGGAGACCATGTGGCTCTGATGGTATTTCTGGGACACTACGAAATGAAAAGGTTGGACTAGAGGTTGGACATCACAAAGATGTTGAAAGAGCTCTCTCTGAGTTACCCCCTTTAATTCTGTAATGAGAGTAAAGCTGTCATTTTCTCTAATTTTCTGTATCCTTAAAGCCTAGTCCACATATTCCTCTTCCATGATTCCTTCTCTTTTTCTGTTTCTCTCAAAACCCAGTTAATTTCTTTAACTTCTGAATCCCAAGAGCACTTTTTTTATTTGTTTCACTTTTTTTCCCCTGAAGCTCATTGGCTTTTATGAATATTAGCATTTCTGAAGTCATTCATTAGAAATTCCAGAGTCCCACGACTGTGGTTTGTTCGGGAGGCTAGAGTTGCTGGGTCTTTAAATCCTGCATTAAACCAGCTAGTCTCTTTCATCTGCAAATCAACAAAGCTTGTTATCCTTTGTTATTATCATTTTAAGCAGGAATTCATGTGATATGGTGGAAACTAACTTTCCTAATGAGAGAACTTAAAGCCAGGGATAACTGTGAAGACATTAAGAGCTTAATGGTTCTTAACTGGAAAATGGTTTTAAATAAATTAAAGAGTAGAATGCCAGATTTTGCGAGTATTCAAGTCCACAGTGTGGACTCATTATATGCTATCTATAGAATTATTTTTTACAAATGATTTGTGAAACTGTTTTAGTGATTGCTCTAGCCAAGAAAAAAATTGTTACAAGTCTGAGAGAAAACATGGGTAAGGTTGGAAGGTCAGCTGGTGCTTGGCGGTATGATGTACAGGAAACATGAGATTTGAGGCATACATGATTGGGAGTGAGTTTTGTAAAGATACTTATATATTTGTGTATTTAGGAATTCCAAAAATGTTTGGACAATCTCTTGTTGTCAGGGTTTTCTCACCTCAGTGCTTGTGAAGGATAGGACATGACAGTCTCTCATTGTGTTCTGATTCTCATTGTTGTATTTACACATGTTGACATGTGTGCATGTGCATGCACCCCTTCGGGACTTGTCTCTTTCCTACCCACCATTCACTTGCATGTGTATGCTTAGTGTTAGATCATGTGATTCTTGAAGGTCAAGATCATCTTCCTTGTACCTAATATGTCAACTGCCAAGCAGAGGTTTTCACTGTAGGAAGGCTTTTTAAAGTTCTTGGTTTGTAATATATTGTAGGGACCTTTGTTTTATGTAATAATTTTGGTTGCTCAAATACAGTTGGCTTACTTCGAATTATATTTGTAGCTCTTAGGGTAATCTTTAATTTTGCCTTTTTGTTATCCAGCTTCTTTTTATACCTTGTCTTCAGTTTTGCTTTAAAAAATCTTAAGTCACATTTGACAGGGGCAGCTGTAAATTTTCATACTCACATTTAACCACCCTATATTTCATTTCTATTTTGCTTATTAATTTTTTTCTAAAATGGAAGTATTTATTGCTCCCCCTTTTTACTCCTCCCTTTCAAAAAACATTTCAAGACTTGTGGTTTAAGAATAATTATGTCAGAGATGTGTGTTTTGTTGTGCTGTGTCGTTCATTTTTGTATTTTCATTTCTGAAACTCACCAAAAAAGCCAAAGAGGATTTTTTTTTTAACTATCAAGATATAGTTTCAAGAAGTTAAACACAATTTTCAAAGAAATACATTGTGAATTACTGATTAAGGTGGTAATAATGAGTGCTGGAGTGTGATTACACTCAGTAGCCTCCAAAACTTATAATATCCTATAAGAATAATAAAGCCATTACCTTTGGAGTTAGGTTTTCAACTAGACACAGATCGGTTTTAACTCCTCAGTGTTCTAAAAATTAACATCCAACTTGAGGCATCTGAACCCTAATCAGGTGTAAGTGGTAAGTAAAACAAAGTTAAGTAATTTAATGAGAGTTATATGACCCTAGGCGGGCTTGTTTAGATGATGTTCAAGTGTTTACACTGAAAGGACACATAATCATCTTTTTGCCTTATTTACAAACTGAATGAGTGTTTCTTGACTGAACTAATATATATCTGCTTTGGTTATGAGCACAGTACAGATATTGCAGAAACTGAATTATTTTGGAGACTGGATACATGGGTGAGCCTTTTTAGAATCATGGAGACAAGCAGGAAATGTTCCTGAGATGGAGTGGGTTTTGTTTTTATACCACAGAGTAGTAGGGGAGAAGAAGGGAGAAACTTCTAGAAAAATCCCCTTTAAAAAAAAAAAACTTCAGTCTGACTTTTAACTCAAAGGCAGTTTGAAAGGTAAGAGGAGGTGGAGAGAAACTAAGGGCTTTGCAGGTGCTGATAAAGTCAACTGCTGCACTAATAAATTCTGATATGAAATAAAAAACCTTCTGAACAAAAAGGGTGTGTTCCTGGAAAGAGGAAGTATATAAAGCTGTTGGGTGCTGTTCTCCCATGTTCTAAAACATGTCCTTTCCTTCTTCTCATCCCTTATCCCTCTCCCGAATAAATAGTAGTCCCCTTTTCCCCAGCTAAGAATTAACGAGTGAAAAGAGCTAACTTTGGAACCCTATGCCTATTACTAGGTAGGAATAATGCATTTAAAAATTACCAAAGTAAGTCAAAATTTCAGACAGAAAACACATTCAGAGATGAGGGCCTCCTTAGTCCCTTTGGTACAGGGTTTTTAGAACTCAACTAGAGAGCCACAATCTCATTGGTTTTCATATTGTCAGAGGTTGGAGGTCACCGCTGCTCAGTAGCTAGAAATTGAGGGAGGGAATAGTGGCAAAGAGGGAGTCATGGGGGGTGGAGGGCTTAGTCCCACAATCTGTTTAAATCCCTCTCAGATCCTTCAGCTAATCGAACCCCTGAACTTCACAAGTTCAGTGAGTTTTGATAGAACCTAGGAGAAAGCAACAGTTGGTAGGCTGAAAGAGCTGAGCAGAGAATGTAATCACTGCCCACTGCAGTAAACACAGAATTTTGGAGTTTGAATTCTGCCATGACTTGGTAAATACCTTGGGCCTGGGCCTTACATTGAAACTAAGGAAGGCTCATGCTTTAGGATTTAAAGACTTTCCCAGGACTAAGGGACTCACCATAGGATTAAGGAAAAACCCAAAATAGGCTCTAATATGTTTCTGCATGAAACATGTTATACATGTTGTACAAAATCAAGGTTCATTTGGTTTCTAACCAAATCGAACTAGAAATTTGCCTACTAGAGCAAAAGTTAACATGCTTCTGGGAAAATTCATTGAATCCAGAGTTCAGTATCAAATACAATATATTACACAATAACAATTTATTAGACCTAGCAGTAAACAGAAAAACGTCTTCCTTAGTCATGAGAAAAAAAATAGTAGAAACTGATCCTGAAATGGCTCAGATTGGAATTAGGAAATAAGAGTTTAAAAGCATCTAGGGCGCCTGGGTGGTTCAGTTGGTTAAGTGACTGCCTTTGGCTCAGGTCATGATCCTGGAATCCCGGGATCAAGTTCCACATCAGGATCCCTGCTCAGCTTGGAGGGAGTCTGCTTCTCCCTCTGACCCTCCCCCTTTTCATGCTCTCTTCCTCTCATTCTCTCTCTCAAATAAATAAATAAAATCTTAAAAAAATTTAAAAGCATCTACTAAAATATGAAGAATTTAGAGTAAAAGATAGTAAACATGGGGGAATCTCAGCATAGAGGTGAAAACTAAAAAAAGAATCACATGGAACTTGTGGAACACAAATTGGAGAATTGAAAAGTACAATATCTGAATAAAAAGTGTACTGGTATACTAAACAGCAGGTTGAAAACTTACAGAAGAGAAAGGCTCGTGGAGCACCTGGGTGGCTCATTCGGTTAAGCATCTGTCTCTTGATTTTGGCTCAGGTCATGAACTCAGGGTCATGAGATTGAGCCCCACATCGGGCTCCACGCTCAGCACACAGTCTGCTTGACCCTCTCCCTCTGCTCCTTCCCCTGTGCGTGTGTTCTCTCACTCTCTCTCTCAAATAAATAAATAAAATCTTTAAAAAGGGTTAGTGCACATAACAGATCAGTGGAAATTAGCCAAAAAATAGACTGAACATAGAACTGCTCAGAAATGAACATAATCCTGGGGGAACAGTGAATATATATACTTAGAGTTCCAGAAGGAGGAGAGATTGAGTGGTACTGGTGGGGAGGGGTGGGGGTAAAGGAAATAATGGCTGGATATGTGAATGAAAAAGATTATTTTACAGATTGAAGAAACTCAGAAAATAGGAAGCAGGAGAAAGATAACATGGTGAGAATGAAAGATGAAGAAAATCTTGCAGGTAGCCAGAGGGGAAAAAAGATGCATTCCATATAAGTGAATATTGATAAGGGTAGGTGACTTCTTTTCAGAAACAATGGAGGACAGACAGTGATGGGGTGAGATCATTAAAATGGGGGGGTTGGAATTTGCCCCTCAACATTCTATACATGGCCAAAAAAAATTCTTTAAAAAATAAAGGTGAAATAGGGTGCCTGGATGGCTCAGTAGGTTAAGCGTCTGCCTTCTGCTGGGGTCGTGATCTCAGGGTCCTGGGATGGAGAGCCACATTGGGCTTCTGCTCAGCGGGGAGCCTGCTTCTCCCTCTCCGTCTGTGCTTTCTCTCCCTCTTTCGCTCTCTTTCAAATAAATAAAAACCTTTTAAAAAAAATAAAGGTGAAATAAAGTCCTTTTTAGATAAAAGAAAGTTGAGAGGAATCTGTTGGCAGAATATCTGCACTGAAAGAA